TCCCCCCCCCCCCTTGATGCGGAGTAGAAAACTGAAGTCCTATCAGTGGCTACTGGGCACAATGGAGGCTATTCACTGCCTCCATAGGTCAGAGACAGCATGCTTCTGAATGCTTGTAGCTTGACACTGTAGCAGAGAAAGGCTCCTCTCAGGCATCTGGTTGTCCACTGTGAGAACAGGACATTGGGACTAGATGGACCAGGGGCCTGATCCAGCATGGCTTTTTGTAAGTCACTTCAGTGAGGGGAAAAAAAATCTCTGAAATGAGAAGACTTGGTGTTATGTTGGTTGAAAACAGGATTCACTCAATTCCTGCAAATGAGAACGAATGTTTAAGTTTGACAAAATTTTAAGATTTATTTGTTCCTGTTCCCAGTGACCATAGTTAAAAGTGAGGAGTATACATCCCTTTGTGAATCAGGGTTATGCACCCACCCCCTAAGTCATTTGGTCATGCATGCATTGCCAAAGCAGGGACCCAGCCATCACCAGTTAACCTTAGTCTCGCTTAGAGAACAGCAATTCCCTTCTGGAGACAAGCTGTTTACAATGAGATGTTCCGACTGCTGCACCGCAGGTCAAGAGTCAATATGGAACAAACATGGCAGCCACATGCACCTTACACAGGCGTGTTTTGGAAGATCAGTCATCCATCCCTTCAGGCAAAGTACAGCACAAACTGGATGGTTGTTAGGTTTTTGTTCAGAGCAATTCAGAGCCCACAGTGCCACATAGTTCAATGAGTCAAACAGGATCCTTTTGAAAGAACAGAACACTTGGATATGCACACATCGCTGTACATCATCATCCTCATGGTGGTGGGGAGAACAGTACACTCTGAAAACAGAAGTAGGGCAATTCCTCCCAGTTGACTTGGCTCATATGAATGCCGCAACAGGGTTCAAGGAGTGCCAAAAGCGTAATTGTGCAGACTCAAGCATGCCTGAATCATCCCTGCTCTCCTGACTCTATTCAGAAGGACCCTTGCTGTTTTGGTCAATAGGAAAAGTTAGTGAAAGTAGGTAAACCTCTTAAACAGACCACAGTGAGTTTCCTCTTTCTTTCTTTTCTCCAGTGCCCCTTGCCAAGCTAGCGGAAGAGTCGGACTTTGTCATTGTGACATGTTCTCTGACACCCGACACTCAGGGGATGTGCAATCGGGACTTCTTTTGCAAGATGAAGAAGACGTCTGTGTTCATCAACACAAGCAGGTAAAACCTGATGTGGCCCAGAGTGGAGGCTGGGAATCGGGGGCACATCCCCCAAGACAATGCCAAGTCCCAGTGCTACTGCATAGCATGACTGAAGTAACATGACAGTATGGAGGAGCGTGAGCCTAGATCTGCAACATGCCCTTGTCTATCATGAGTTTTTTAAAATGCACAAATCATTCCCCCTCCCCGTTTTAATTAAGGGCCTCCACCATGTCCAAATCTCTTCACTGTATGATACATTGCAGTGCAAGACACCACATCTTCACAGCTGTGCTTCCTTTATGAGACATTTGCCCTGGTTTTGTAAAGAAGCAGCACTTGTGGAAATAGGCTTTCCATATTCACTTAACTAGCTGGATCTCTCTTGAGGTCTATCACTATCCAGGCCTGCACCACTCTAAACTAATATTCTGCAGTCCTTCCCTTAGACAGGATGTTCATTGTTCCTGTGAGTGCTGTATATTGCTTAGTCTACCTAATAACCGGTTGCCTAGCTCCATACCTATTGCATTTCTAAAGCAGCAAACACCTGCCAAAATAGGAAACTTAGCATGTACAATATCAGCAGGTTGTATTCTGCATAGCCTAAGGTCTCATCTGTTCAAGCATTTCTGTTTGCTTGACATAACAATCTCCCCCCCCAAAAAAAAGCAGCTTGGGTGCAGTGAGAGGAGGGGTGAAGTCTCATTGCACTAGCACGAATCATTGTGCTGTCTTCTGTTAGTGCAATAAGTTGAATAATAAGCAGATGACCCTGGGAGTCATTTAATCCTTAGCACTATTTCTATGTCACTGCTGCTTGCACCGATTGGGGGAAGCTGCCCCCCCCATACAATTTCCTAAGTACCAGAGTGATGGGGGATGCAGCCCAGCAAAGCAGCACCCTTGCCACTTCAGGCAAGGCATAAACAGTGTGGTCGTATTAAGCTGTCAAGAAAAGCCATAATCTGTATTTCCCCCATGAGAGTCTTGTTGAATTATTTACTGCATCGTGCAATATAGGCTCAATAACACCTTCACACCCCACGTTTTCTCACTTTGCTATGTTAGGGGCACTGTTGTCAATCAAAAGGACCTTTACGAAGCTTTAGTCAATGGCCACATCGCAGCAGCGGGCTTGGATGTTACAACCCCAGAACCTCTGCCTACTGATAATCCGCTTCTTTCCCTCAAGAACTGTGGTAAGCTGACTTAATTTCATAGAATCGTAGAGTTGGAGGGGACCCAAAGGGTCATCTAGCCCAACCCCCTGCAATGCAGGAATCTCCGCTAAAGACTTAATGTGCACATGGCCATTTCTGCACCGTCTCCTCCTGGGGAATTAACGGCTGCCTTTCAGAAGCAGACAGATGCTGCTCAAGTCTCACTTGCACTGAGCCGGCAAGGCTCAATAGCAAGCAGAGGGTTTTCCTTGTGGAAATGTGTCAAAAGGACATCTTTGCAACCATAAGGGCTAGAAACTTGTGGGTTGTTCTTTTCTAAATTGGGAGTTGTTCTTAAAAGAAATCTATGCCTGTTACATCCTGTGGCATTTCTATACTCTCTCCCATGATGTTGCCCTAAGTATGCGCATGGGTAAAGCAAGAAATAAAATGCAGAGGGCATCCTCTGAATTTTGCACTCTTGCCCCTTTCCGCAAGGCAGGTGTCTTTGGGCTGTAATTGGATTGGCATGCCCTGCAAAAGACAGATAATATCATCTTTAATCTAACAGAGGAGGGGCCCTGGAAATAGAATACAGAGGGAATGGGTTGGCCTGAGCAAGTGATTTTATTACTCAAAGATATAGTATCTGATAAAATGATATATTCAGGAACTAGTGATTACAAGTTGATAAAAATTATACTGGCTTGTTTCCTAAATTGCTTCCTCCTCTCCCCCCCCCCTCCCCGTGTCTTGAGCAGTAATTCTGCCTCATATTGGAAGCGCCACCTACGCCACAAGGAATGCCATGTCAGTGTTGGCTGCCAACAATCTTCTGGCTGGACTGAAAGGAGAAAGCATGCCAAGCGAACTCAAGCTGTGAGAAGCAAGAGTTTTGAAGGATTTTTTTACTTTTTGCCCCAAATGGATATTAAATGGGACAAACTGTCTTTCAAATAAAGCATTAAAACAATGGCAGACTTTTGTGTATTATAGCAAAAGGTTCCAGTTCACACCTATTTTTTAAAAGCAATACTCTACATCTTATACAAAGTAATTAAGATGCTGTGTACTGGTATGTTTTCTACAACTGTTCAATCAGAAGCAAACAGAAAGCAGCAGACTGAAAATAATGAGCTTCTCCTCCTGCCCCCTCCTATAGTGGCCTCTACTGCTGGAAGTTACTTTGTCATAGGCTTCAGTGGGGGAGCTGTTACCATGACTGTTTTAAAAGGACTTCCAGGCTTCCCCAACTGTAGCCAATCCACAAATTACTGAGAACTGATGGTTTCTCATCCTGCCTTATTGGTATTTGATTAAATGTCCAGCTGTCATGGTAGTTTTTACACTGTGTTCAGCCCTCTGCCAACCCCAAGCAGCTTCTTTGGGCCCTGAGGCCTCAATGCAACTTGAGTTCCATCCAAATGACAACTTCCCCACTCTCAGAAGCAGAACTGGGTGTGTTCTGTTGCTGCCAAAAGGTTTGCAGTGAAACCTAATCAATGCATTATTACAGTATAGATGCATCTTACAGTTTTGATCATGCACAGGCCTAAAACAAGAGCAAGTTGTCAGACTTTAAACTCTATCTTAGAGCATCTACATCTTAATTTTTTTAAATGAATGTTGGGGATGCCGTAGAGCAGGCATGGCCAAACTCGGCCCTCCAGATGTTTTGGGACTACAATTCCCATCATCCCTGACCACTGGTCCTGTTAGCTAGGGATGATGGGAGTTGTTGTCCCAAAACATCTGGAGGGCCGAGTTTGGGGATGCCTGCCGCAGAGAGAAAACTTTTTTATTTTTTTAAAAACATCACTGTAATTTACTTGAAATAGTAAGATTGCCTACAGTTGCTGAGGATGGATTCCTTGTGGGGAAGCACACTTTTACAAAGTTGTCTTTAAACTGCCATATACAGTAATTCTTGTCGTTAGGTCTAAATGGGGTGGTACCCTCCCACACATTTTATCTCTCTCTCCCCTCAAACCATAATTCCACTGTCGAAGTCAATTGCATTGTGCTGCTTCAAGCCCACTATCTGCTTCTGCCTCCTGCTAGTACCCACACCAATTTTTGTGGCTCACCTCTTTCTCCCCCCCCCCGCCCCCCGGAGAAAAAGCCTGTCCTCTGTGTAATAGCCTCTGCCACGTGCAGTTCCAAAGTATTCCCCCAAAATGGATGGGTATCTGTTTTCAACAGCCTGAACTTAAAAGGAGGGTGTGAGTGCTCTCCTACTTGTTGAGGCTCTGGTAGCCTTAGGGCTAGGGAAGGCTGAAACCAAACTCGGAAGCTCTGCCCCCTACAAAGATGTGCAGAGAGTCATGGATGGTTTTCAGTGGTAAGACAATGGCACTCTGCACTTGGTGTAATGGCACGCGTTCCTAAAAAAAAAAAAAAAAAGTACCATATGAGTCCTATTGTGAGGAAAACAGCAAAATTAAAAACTGTAGCCCTACCACATCAAAATGTTACTAGCCACCACTGACATTTAATATTAAAATGCACATTAAAGAAGGAAAAAAGTATTTGAAAATGGTACCATAAATTCAGACGAGCTTGACCAGCAGCACCTGAAAAGGCAACTTGCACCGTCAAAGGACTTACAAGAATGCCTTTTGAAATAACAACAGTAGACGGATCATTTACGACGTAATGTTGAGTTTAACACATGAAATACAAATTGATTAGAAACACTACCAAGCATGACACAAACACACTTTACTTTTCAGTACAAGATCTTACAAAAAGAGAAACTATGAAACACCTAGATTTTGCTGTATTCAAAAGTATATACACACATACATATATCAGACAGTCTAAAAGTTACTTGCATTGGACTCAAGGTAAGCACCTTCATTACACAGTGTATGTTACTGCAAAACAACCAAAAATACATTCAGAACCCCTAAAACTATGTTATTCTATAACACACTCCAAAAGCACTTTGAGGTGCAAAGGTCATTTCTCTTCAAGATATGCAGTCTCACAATAAAGAGCTCTTAGTAACGTTGTTCACACACTCCATGTAGCAACCTATTTTACAGATAAATGCTTTCACATCATTTTTTTAAAAAACCATTACAAAGGTTCCACTTCAGCTTTTTGAAACATGCTAGTTAGTTATGTGCTAGCTACACTTTCATTCTTCCAACCCTTCTCCTACTCTTAGAACTAATGACACTAAGGATTGTATCCATATATAATACATGCAGTCCAATCCTAAACATGTTTATTTGGGAGCAAATCCCAGAGAGTTCAATGGGGCTTACTCCCAAATGTCTGTTAAGACTGCATTCTCAGAACTACATTTGTGTCAGAGCTGGAGAATTTCAAAGCGCTTTTTAGAAGTTGTTCAGGCCTCACAAAACCCCTGTGAGGTAGGTATGGTACAAGTATTAAAAAGAAGCCTTTTTTTTTGCGTGTGTGGCACAATCACACTGCAAATGTTCACCTCTTGTGTTCCATGGATTATTAAAAATCTGTATTGGCATCATGGAACTGAGGAAGAGAGTTAAAGCAAAGTGCTGGGTAGATTGCTGCTTTGCCAGCGTAGGCAAGTAGTTTTGGAATGTTTATACAAATGGCTTGACTGACTAAACCTCTTGCCACACTTTAAACAGGCATAGGGCTTCTCGCCTGTATGCACACGGATGTGCTTCTTGCAGTCTGTTAAAGTTAGAAAAGTCTTGCAGCAGATTTTGCAGGCATACTTGCGGGCACCTTCTACTACCAAGACGTTATGTTCAGATAAGGCTTTCTTACATTTTGAAAGAACATCAGCAGACGCTCTGGTCAGCTGCGGTGGGCCAGGTTGGGAAGAATGCCCGTTTTCAAAAGAGGAAGTGGCTCCGTTCATCATCATCTGAGAATTCGAAGCATTGTCCGGAATCTGAGCGCTCCGAACAGAGGTCACTACAGGCATTTTGGGAGCTATGCGGCGATACCCAGGAAAGGTGGTGGCACCGCCTCTCGAGTTCATGACTGCCCTCGATAAAGAATGCAACCCCAAGCCAGACCTGGGGAAGTCCATTCCAAACTGCTCTGCTGCCCGGTAGCCGGAAGTCTGTACGCAAGGAAGACCCATTACATCCTGCATAGGCCTGACAAAATGGGAGTCTGCACTCTCGTTGAACGGATTCTCTACATGAGAGACAGTGGCAGAGGAATGACCATTAGCAGGCCCAGATTCTTGGCTAATTAAATACGATGCATCACTATCCATTCTACAGTCACTGGTTGTATTTGGAATGTTGTCCTCATTATTTGGGCCAGCACCAAAACTGCTGGCTCTGCTCTTATTCAGAAAATTTGAAATACTGAAGGTAGATTTGTGTTCCAGGTTATTTGCTACTTCCATGATATGGATATCTCCCACCCTGTCGGTACTAGACTGTGGGTCAGAGAAGCTGCGGTCGCTGCTCTCGGGGCTCAGTTCTATCTTTTCAGCACTTGGTCCTCCGCCTTCCACTTCAACAGACTCGCTTCCCTCTGCTTGGGAAGTCACATCACTCACTTCATCCTGGGGCTCTGGAGAACTCAAAGGCTCAGATTTCACCACTACCCTCATGTGTTCCTTTTCATTTAGTCCAACCTCAGGATTCTCACACTGAAAGTTATTTTTTTGGGAAGCTGTTTCCTGATCAAAGCTAGTTTCCACTTGAGTTGCCTGTGATGCCATAGACATTTGAGAAATATTTCCCCCACTGTTGTCCGACTGGCTTGGCACTTGTGCATCTTCTTGGGCACCAAAAGACTGGTCAAACATAATAGTATTATCTTCCTGGTTGTCAGTCACACCATCAGGTTTAGAATTGTCTACAATTTTCAGGGAGTCTGGGGAAAAGAATTCATCTCGTGAATGAACCACAGTCTGTGCGCTCTCTGGAGTAACATCTGACATGATAGAATCATCTATGGGAGCCCTAATGCGTTGTCTCGCTCTTTCTTCAGAAGTCTGCTTACGTTTATGGAGACGTCTGATCGGAAAAGCACTCCGTTGCTCTATGTTACTTCTGATTGATGAGCTCATAGAATTTGCCTGTTCTTCTGTGCTTTGGGTAGAAGTTAATGCAGAGCTCACTATACTCAATCCCAGCTGCTGAAGCATGAAAGACCGTTGCATGCGTGCATTCTGCTCCTGCACTCTATCGTTTGGTGGAGACATTGGTAGTGTCCTTGTAGTAAGGTAGTGTTTGCAGGCTTTAACCACAGAGTTCAAATGGAGGTGAGAAGCTGCTAGCAACACATCCATAACGTTGCTCTCTCCAAGCATGAGTGTGGAAGTGTACATCATATCAATGAGAGCAGCAAAAGCTTCAGCTGTCACTACTTCACTGTCCAACTGGATCATGTTCATGGTCTGATCTCCTTCTGCTACGGTGAAAAGAGCACGGAAGTGTGTGCTGCATGCTGCCAAGACTGAGCGATGCGCTTTGAAGTGCCGGTTCCCCACCACAATGACACAGTCACACAGCTGACCATGAAGCCGCTGATAGTTCAACTGCTGAAAGATTTGCTCGAAGTGCCCTGGAAAATCCATGATCCTACGAAAAGAGAGAATATGATGTAAAAACAAGGACCAAACTTCTGGTTTTTAGCACACAAATGGGGCACAAAATATACCGTATTGGCCCAAATATAAGCCGCACTCAAATATAAGCTGCACCTTTAAAATTGGAAGGGGGGGGAGAAAAAAGACCCAAATATAAGCCGCTCCCTTCCTTGCTGCTCCTGGCTGCATACTGGGGGGAGGGGCCACACTGTGTTGCCGGCGGCCTTTCCCCTTCCTCATTCTCTCCCTTCCCAGCCTTGGGGGGGAGGACAGGGGACTACGTGCAGGGCAGGTGCCACTTTGCAGCGCTCCTGGCTGCATTCTGTAAGGTCGCAAATATAAGCCGCACTTTAACTTTTCACGGTCAGAATTTGGGGCAAAGTGTGGCTTATATTCAGGCCAATACGGTAGACGTTTGATAATAGAAGCTCCTGTACTAGGCTTGTTTTTAAAACTTATCACCACCATATTGAAATACACATGATTTCCTTAGTTTGTAGGAATGTGAATGCAACGGCTTCAAGCCTTAGACACACAATGGGATTCTGCTTGGAAATGGAAACCAAAGTTTAGACTGCAATACAAAAGAGCTGGGAAGTCCAGGAGATCAGTTTAGGAGCATGTGGCTTATTTAATGTTAGACTGCAGAGACTGTGCTGGAGAGAAGTATAAGATGCCTACACAAAATACTCAGATGCAATTAGTCGAAAGAAATTACAGGGGGATACCAAGAAGGGGAGGAATGTTAACAGCTGAGCAAGCAGACAGATGAAACACCCACAAAAGAAATGTCTGAATTCCCAGCACACTCAATAGCTGCATATATAACAAGGCCATAGGACAACTAGTAGCTTGAGTCGCATGGGCTGCAACAGGTTACCTTATCCAGCACTCAGCAGACCCAACATAGGCCTGTCTTATGTCATGGTTTGCTGTACAATCTGGCCCTAGGGCTAGATTTGTCACTGCTCATTAATAATCATTTCTTCAACTCTGAAGAAATTCTGGGATTAGCCGAGAGAGAGAGAGAGAGAGAGAGAGAGAGAGAGAGTAATTGAGTGCAGTTTTGCAGTTTGCCAGTGGCAAGTAGAACTGGCTGCCCAGGAAACACAGCACACAACAGGTTTGACTCTCTACTGCCCTTGTGGGCTTCTACTCCACAAAACGTGCCAGAACCTGGACAATTCCTGTGGTCAGATGCCCTTGTGCATGTCAGAGAGCCTTGAAGACCAATTACTAAAGCCACTTGGGTAGTTGGGAACCCCCAGGGAGGGGAACCAAGGCCATGAAGATGGAAGCCCACTTCCCAGCTGTTTCTAGAAAGAGGCTCTTCTCCTGATAAGAAAGGTCACAGGTTTAGTTATGGCATCTGAAGTATGTGAACCGTTCAAGACCTGCTTATGCTCTCTGCTTGTTGCTTATACTTCGTTGAGTCAAATAATTTCTTTTAGTTTAGAAATATTTTGAATTATTTTTTTAAAAGAACAATTCATACGCATAGCTGAAAACTGAAATTTTAAAGGGGTTTTCCCTGCCGCCTTCCCCTTTGAAAAAGTTTCCCCCTCCATCTACTTGGGTCCAAAAAATATGCCAGTTCTTAGCTTTAAAGGCTTTAGTGTTCAGCAAATTGCCATCAAGTCAGAGAACAACAACGGAATTCTCTTTCGATTGCCTTTTTTTGAAACTGCCAGTTTGAAGTCTTTTTTTCAACTGGTAAAAATATTTTTGGTAAAATGGCCAATTTCCTTTATGCCAATCATTAAGTTTCATTTTTGTTCTTATTCAGAAAATATTCACCAGGCCTTATTCATGAATAACTAATACAGTATTTACCGCTTCCGTCATTCAGTTAAATACATATGCACTAACGGAATCAAACAAATAAGTCTACTGATAACTTCATCTACCGTAATATAAAAAGCAGATATGTTGATTCATAAGATTTCAAAATCCAAATTGGGCAATATTTTTAATAGGCTGAACAAAATGTCAAAAGAAATCAAAACTGAATAAACCAATTATTTCCTCAGTTCAAAGTGGTAAGAATAATTAAAGAAATACTGTGACAAACTGAGGGATGCTCCTCCATTGGGTACTAGGAACTCAGTGACCATAATCTGGAATGACAAGCGGCTGCTTCCATGTACTCTGCTGGTTTCTGCAAGAAGGTCCATCTAATCCCATTTCCAATAGTGGCCAAGTCTCCAAGAACAACCTCTGGATAATGCAACAGCTGTGCCAGCTGCAAGTATAATAAGATTTAATGCAGAATTGAAGACCCATTGTGTTTACTTTTTGACAAAACAATTCTATCTTTAGGAATTGAAAGCTAATGCTCATAATAGTTAAAGGGACTCAATCATGGATGTTATTCCATGACACAACGAAGTATTCTTACGAAGTATCCATTTGCTATCTTAAGATACTGTTAACATTATACAGGTAACTTGCTATAACTATGGTAGCCATTCCTGTTTTGTAAAAATTTGGTACAAAATTACTTATTTTTGATGAAAAGGGGTGGATGTGGCCTCTGGACATCTGTTGGGTAGGGAATTTGGCCCTTTAATCTGTTTTGAATTCAACTCTCCTGCTTTAGGGGAAAACAGTAAGAGAACTAGTCTTGCTTAATCATGTCCAGCTCTCAAGGGAATGCTTTGTGACTCTTACTAAGATTAAGTGTGCTCCAAGCATTTCAATTTATAATTCAGAGTGCTAAAAAACTAAGGAATTGTGAGCTAGTGACTCTTACTTGGCTATGTGCAACTGTCATATGCTGTAATTCACTTTTCCCCAACCTGGTGCCCTCCAGATATTTTGTACTGCAACCACATTAGCTAACCATCTGCTGTGCTAGCTGAGGCTACTATGAATGGTAATGCAAAACATATGGAGGGAACCTGGTTATATAAGTTCCAGAGATCAATTGTGCTCTTAGCGTGTAAAACATGCTTGTTTAAACTTAGTAAAAGTCACCCTAAAAAAGAACATTATACTGTTACAACAGCAAAACACAATCACATTTTACAGTTTGTTGTGGCTTCCAGCATCTAACTTAAGGCCACATTTTCTAAGCTGATAAAAAAGCTTAGAAAATAGCTTTTCTCTGCTCATTGTTTTGAAAGATAAACTACAGCTAAAGACACCATGAACTACACCATGGCTAAAACATGAATATTTGTTTTCTATACTTTCTAGTTTTTGAGGTCATTCCTCATGTTCCTATTTAATGATAAGTACAAGTCATTAAAATTTTGAATTTTCTTTGTAGGATATTTGTGCAGTTTTCTCAGAGTGTCCACACTATTACCAAGTTCTGCTCCAAAGGTTTATTATGTTCTCTTCCCTTTTTCTTCCTGCAAAGAAAGAATTAGTAGTAGCTGGGGAAGAGCCATGGCCCAATGGTAGAGTATATGCTTTATAAAAATAAGGTTCTAGGTTTGATCCCTAGCACATCTGGGTAGTGTCTGAAATACTCAGGAGTTGCTGCCAATCAGTGTATACAATCTTGAGCTAGATAAACCAATGGTCCGATTTAGGATAAGGCAGCTTCCTTTTCAAGTGACTTTTTATGTTGCAAATTGCAACTGACATTCAGTGATAAGAACTTAATTTCATAAAGAATTTCCAAGAAGTAGTATGTTTATGGACAACATGTCCGAGAAAAGAGGCAACACAGCAGAAATTATTCTGAAATAGTTTCAGTCCTAGATGAAAGGAGACCTTTACATCCAAAATACCCCCATGACAAAACTGTTGAAGATTTATAGTTACCAACTGGTTCTTGGGTACCTCAGCATAGGTCCACACCTGACAATCCCTGAAGTCTCATCTGGTGTCTTTCCACAATTGAAATAGATGCGTGGACAGTTCTAGAACAGAATGCAACTATGCCTGTCTTCTTTGATAATGGCAGTAGAACAGAGGGCTCTTTTCAAAGGCAGCAGCACCAATACTTATTTACTCCATGCAAAGGAATCTGGGATGGCTCTTTTTACTCAGCAGGGCAAACGAAAGTTAAGAGTAAAGTGCCGCTCTTTCCAAAACACTGAACACACTGCAAGCTGATGTCAGCATTGGGTCCTGAGGCTTGTTTTCACAAGGACCACGCTGGCCTATGTATAGCCCCGCCATGCCCTTATGAACTGCAAGAGAAAGACGACGTACCCCCGAGCCCACTTGAAATTAGGCCTGCCAACTCCCCTGCCCCAATTCAAGCTTTTTCTGCGAAGAGGGAGAAGTGTTCAAAGACGACTGTGTCCTGAACAGCCTTTACCAAAGGTGTCATGGGTTTTGAAGACGCTTGAACTCGGTAGGAATGGGAGAAACGTGCTAAGAGGAAGGCACACTTGGCTTCATCACTGTGATCAACCCCCACCTGGAAACCTATGGAAGGACGTGTGGATCCAGAATTGGCCTCCACTTACAGAATCACTGTTTAAACACTGTATCTGAAGAAGTGTGCATGCACACGAAAGCTCATACCAAGAACTAACTTAAGGTGCTACTGGAAGGAATTTGTTTTGTTTTGACTATGGCAGACCAACACGGCTACCCATCTGTAACTGTTTAAACCATGTTCATGGAAGACAATCTGACTTGGCTACAAGTGATCGCCAAAGAAGACACTTGATTTCATGCATCTGTTGAGACCCTGCCTTTCTAAATTAGCAATCGAGGCATGCTATTTTTAAAAACAAAACCCAAACACTAAACGTTTCACAGCCCCCTCCCTTCAAAGGGCAGAAGAGCGACACAATGGAGGCTCTCAAGTGCAGCCCCCTCCCACCCAGCCACCCCCAGTCAGTTAGGCCTATGCAAAGCGGGCCGATGACAGAGAACAGGGGCAGCCCCCCCCCCGTCTAGGGCAGGAGGCGCCCCTCCCCACAGGCCACTCACCAGTCCATGCCCCGCCCTCGCCGGGAGGGAGGGGGAGGGGAGAGAGGGGGCGTGGCGGCAGGAACCTCGCGCTCCCTCTCCGTTGACAGCCCAGCCAACGTCTGTCACGGAATCACGCCGCCCCTCGGACCACCGCGGAGCATGCGCACCTGCCCCGAAAGAGCCCGCCCCGCCCCCTTCCTCCGAAACAGGCCGCGCTGAGGGGATGGAAAGCAAGCCGTCTCGGGCGCTCTCGGCCAACCGCCCTCAACGGGCTTCCTCAAGTGCGCGTGCTCGCGAAGGAACACCAACCAACCCCTCCCCCCCACCACACACCTCCCGCGACCCGGCGGCCGCCCAACCGGCGCACGCCTCGCCTCGCCCCACCCCCGCCGCGCGCCCCGCAGCCAATGGCGAGGCTGCGCGCCCGCCGCCGCCTGCCACGCCCCTCCCTCGCGCGCTCCCCCACAGACCCTCGCATGTCACGGCCCAATCAGGGCGCAGAACGCGGGCACGCGCGCGCCCAACGGCCGTTTCCCTCCTGCCCTCGCGGCCTCTCTCACCTGGGCGGGGGGGAGGGGAGGGCGGCGGCGGCGTCGACGACGGTCCCCTCCCGTCCCGAGCCCCCGTATCTCCGGGAGGGAGGGGCGCCCGTTGTTCTCGGCTCTGGCGCTGCCCGCTTGTCCTTCCTTCCGCTCCTCAGAGGCGGGAGAGGGGCGGGCTCAGCCGTCCGCCGAGTCTCCGCCTTCGCCGAATGGCTGCGCTTTTCTCTCCCCCCCCCTCCCCTCAGCGGATTCCGGGCGGAAGTGACGTCGCTCCCTCAGACGGCAATTCAGAACCCGTTCAACGGCCGAACCGTCGCCAACGGCTAGCTACCCATGCTTGGGCTTCGGCCAATGGGGTGGGCGTTCGGGCTGGTTGCGGAAACGGATTGGGAGCATGCGAGGAGAGGGGCGGGATTTCCTCAACAAACGGCTCGGTGATTGGACAGGACGCAGACACTTACTGAGAATTCAGTGCGAAGTGGAGAAAGATTTGTCTCTTTCGCAGCCCCGTTTGACTCGCTTTATAATTTGGCGGCTGTTGCGCGTCCACAAACTTCAAAATTAACACTATAAACAGCTGAAGATGTCAGCTGGGTATCCGTGCCTGTTATATTGAGTATATTCTATGATTGGTATTAGTAATTGTATTATAATTTGGTATTGTTATAATGAGGCTATTATTGGATTGTAATTGAAAATTAATAAAAAAGTATCAAAAAATTGAGTATATTCTGCCACAACTTGGGTTATTTATACCCTGCCTTTTAAACACGGTACACAAGCTAGCTTGCGAAGATAATAATTCATAATAAAACTCAACTTAAACAATTTACAGCTCCTGTCAAGAATCTCCGCAGCTGCATTCCAGATCAGTTGCAGCTTCGGTCTTCAAGAGTAGATCCTTATAAAGCACATTACTGTAAGCAATCCTGGAGATGACAGGAACAGAACTGGCTGAGATCAGGTCAAATTTCTCCAGGAAAGCAAGCTATTGACATGCAAGACCTGGGGTAGCAGCTTCAATAAAATGCCGAGGGGGCATGCATAATCAATCACATGTTGCGGTGCATGGACACCATTTGAATGGCATTGCCTATCGACTTTGGGGGGCCCGTGCAAGATAGAGTTGGTAAAGCACTTGTGGCCATCCATTTGCACGTCTGAGTCCAAGAAATCTTCCAGACTCCAAACCTGTTGCTTAAAAATGACTGCAGTTCCGTTCAGATCAGGCTCAATCCAGGATCACCAGTACTAAAACCAGCAACTAACGGTGCTCCTGTCATGCCTAGATTAAATTTCAGCTTGCCCATCCATCCAAAAGACACTTTTCAAGAACCTATGCTTCCTCCTTGGGATCGGAAGCTGGGACTGAAAGAGAGAGCTGGGTGTCATCTGCTTATTTATGATACCCTTGCAGCTGTTAAAAAACAAATAATTTTTAGTTTTCCCTGTGGAGGAATATATATGTTTTAATTTCCTTGGTAAATTATAACTTTTGCTTCAAGTGGTTTTTTGGTCTTTCCCTTGGTCTGGCTTTAAAAGCAACTTATAAAATGGTCTTTATGTAATCAGAGATGTTTAAAAATCCACGCAGAAAAGCTGAATGCCGCAAGACAACCTATAGAAATGATGCAGATTTATATACTTTTACTTATTTTTTCTTCAGGTAGTTATGAGAAGCTGCAAGGGGTACCCCCAAACAAGCCAGGTTTTGTATCCATAAGACAGCTTGCTCTTTTTAAAAGCCAATCTTCTCCAGAAACAATGATGTCCTGGGAATCGAGCAAAGAAGACTGGACGGAAGATCTCAGAATGGAGTCCTGGATCCTCGAGAGGGGCTAAGACAGGAACTACACGTGAGCGTGATCTCCTCTGGGAAGGGATCTGGAGTCAATCTCTTGCCAGTTCAGTGGCTCTTTCCCGTCTGCAGGTGGCGAGAGAGGCTTAAGTGAGCAGCACAGGCGGAAGAACCTCGAGTCAGATCACTCCTCCTCTTCCTGGACGCTGGAGGAAAATCAACCAGGAGACCCGGGAGTATTTGCGTGTTTTGCCATGGCAGCCGAGGCCAGGTGGTGCTACCGGGGGGATCCCCAGGAGGAACAGCGCGCTCCGCTCGGTAAGGCCGGGAAGAAGGAGGGAGAAGCCGGAGGCAATGCTCTTGTACCCTCTTCTGCTTCCAACTGCGCAATGATAACTTTTCCGCCTCCCTCTGCTCCACGTGGGAATGTGTAGCTTGGCAGCGTGCAAGAGATCTGGCGTGCATTTGCTCGACTCTCGGCGCCCCTAGGGCAGCCGGCAGCTGAGCTTCCCTCCTGGGCAGGTGAAAATGGAGATAGAAAACCGATTGAAAGGATTAGGACCAAGAGTCGCGATCAAGGGTTGCGTTAGCATTGGGCAGGAAGGTTACGAAGATGTTCTTCCGTGAGTGTGGTTTGGCGTTGCGGCATGACCTTCGATGTTGGACACAGTTAAAAATAAAATAAAATTAAGCCTCTTCAAGCCCTGCTCTTTCAATAGGTATAAGAATGCCAAATCTTGTGTTGTGTTGTCCTTTTATATAATATTATTTATTATGTTATATTGATGCTGGTGGTAAAAAGGTAAAAGGTAAAGGTACCCCTGCCCGGACGGGCCAGTCTTGACAGACTCTAGGGTTGCGTACTCATCTCGCTCTAGAGGCCGTGAGCCGGCGACACTTCCGGGTCACGTGGCCAGTGTGACATCGCTGCTCTGGCGAGCCTGCACCAGCGCAGCACACGGAACGCCGTTACCTTCCCGCCGGAGTGGTACCTATTTATCTACTTGCACTTTAAGGGTGCTTTTGAACTGCTAGGTGGGCAGGAGTTGGGACCGAAAGACGGGAGCTCACCCCGCCGCGGGGATTCGAACCGCCGACCATACGATCGGCAAGTCCTAGGCACTGTGGTTTTACCCACAGCGCCACCCGCGTCCCGGATGCTGGTGGTGCTGTGGTCTAAACCATGGAGCCTCTTGGGCTTGCCAATCAGAAGGTCGTTGGTTCAAATCCATGCGACGGTGTGAGCTCCCGTTGCTCTGTCCCAGCTCCTGCCAACATAGCAGTTTGAAAGCAAACCAGTGCAAGTAGATAAATAGGTACTGCTGTGGCGGGAAGGTAAACAGCATTTCTGTGCGCTCTGGCTTCCATCACGGTGTCCCGTTGTGCACGAAGTGTTTCAGTCATGCTGGCCACATAACCTGGAAAGCTGTCTGGACAAACGCCGGCTCCCTCTGCCTGAAAAGCAAGTTGAGCGCACACCCCACAGTTGCCTTTGTGTGGATTTAACCATCCAGGAGTCCTTTACCTTTTTACCTCTTAGATTATTATTACTGTGTTTCTTCCCCACGCTTTCTCTTACTCTAGACTCATTGGTTTGTTCTCACCATTTGCTTACAGTTCAGTTTACAAATGGGAAGTTGAAGAGTTCGGAAAATATGAATTTTACCTTGTACAGAAACAAAGACACCAGTAACCCCAAAAAGAAAAATAAACGAATGTTGGTAAGTGACATTCCCGTAATACAGGTTCTGTTTTAGGTTACTGTGGAACTGTATATATGTTTGTTTGTTTTGATTATTATTATTTTAATGTACATTCTGCTTTTACTTTATTAAGCTTTCAGAGGCTTATGTAGGGCTCCGGTGGTTTTATCATGAGGCTTTCTTTGTAATAATCTCTTTGGCCACTGGGAAAGGCCTCAACCATAACATTTCTGTTGTATTCCAGTGATAGGAAGTTGGGAATGCTGCCCAGGGTGAGATCTGAGATCCTGAAACGTGACTTCATAATACTTTTAAAAAACCACAGCTGTGCTGATGTAGGCCACATCTTAAGATGTGTTAAAAGGAATTGATTCATGTACGCACACATATTGCCGTTACTGTGTTATTTGTTTG